GTAGCTTTCTCTTTTTTATTGTTTCAGTGGTGTCTGTAGAACAAAAGTTTTTAATTTCAGTAGAGTCCAGTTGAGCATTTTTTTCTTTTATAAATTATGCTTTTGGTATCATTTGCTTAAAATTCTCAGATAACATTTTTTTCTTATGTTTTATTATAATAGAACCTTTTTCTTTGGATTACTGTGGTGCTTTGGAAATGATATGATACTGTTAAGTCTTTTTCTCCTAAACCAAAGGTTAATATTGAATGTTAATCAGTGGCATTAAAAAAAGCAAGACCCTTCTCACTCATAAGTGGGAGGGAATTAAACATTGAGAACACATAGACGCTGAGAGGAGAACTTGTGGGAAGGGAACTTAGAGGATGGGTCAATAGGTGAATCAAACCACCACGGCACACGTACACCTGTGTAACAAACCTGCACATTCTGCATATGTATCCTGTGTTTTTTTGTTTTGTTTTTTAGAAGAAAAAAAGGACTCAGAATTGTATAAATACTATTATTAAAACAACATAAAAACATATTCATGTTGAAGAAGTTCTGTAAGGAGAAGAAACAGAAATGGGTAGTATGGAAGCCAGTGGTTCCATAGTCCTGGATGTTGTATCAGAATCGCCTGGGTAGATATATTAAAATTAGGGTTATCTTTTGATCTTGAGGGGCCCACAAATATTTCTTCTTCTTTTTCCTTCTTCTTCCTTCTTCTTCCTTCTTCCCTTCCCCTTCCCTCCCCAATTCCCCTTCCTCCTCCCCCCTTCCCCCTCCCCTCCCTCCCTCCCTCCCTCTCTCCCTCTCTTATTTTGTCCCTCCCTCCCTCCCTCCCTCCCTCTCTTCCTTCCTTCACATTTAAGTTACCTCCATGTCTCTTCATGGCTTAATAGCTCATTTCTTCTTTGTGCTGAGTAACATTCTGTTATCTAAATATCACACAATTTATTAATCCATTCATCTACAGAACAACATCTTGGTTTCTTCCAAATTTTGGGAATTATGAATAAAGTTGCTTTAAACACCTGTGTGTGCGTTTTTGTGTAGACATAGGTTTTCAGGTTATTTAAGAAAATACTCAGGAATGTGATTGCTGGATTACATGGTAAGAGTGTGTCTAGTTTTGTAAGAAACTGCCAAACTGCCTTTCAGAGTGACTCTACCATTTTGCATTTCCACTGGCAGTGCATGAGATATTCTTTTGCTCGTCCTTGCTAGCACTTGGTGTTGTCAGTGTTTTGGCCATTGTCAAAGATATGGAATGGTATCAGATTGGTATTTTAATTTGCTGTGTCCTGATGACCTAGGATCTTCTCAAATGCTTACTTGCCATCTTTATATCTTCTTTGGTTAGGTGTCTGTTCAGATCTTTGGCTTTTTTAAAAATTTATTTTCAAGTTTTAAGAATTCTTTATATATTTTAGATAATAATTCATTAGATTTGTCTTTTGCAAATACTTTCTCCCAGTCTGTGGCTTGTTTTCTCATTTTCTTGACTAAAGTCTTAATTTATTTTTAGAGATAGAATCTCACTGTGTTGCCCAGGCTTGCTTCAAACTCCTGGGTTCAAATGATCCTACCACCTTAACCTCGTGAGTAGCTGAGAATAGAGATGAACTAAATCTCACTGTGTTGCCCAGGCTTGCTTCAAACTCCTGGGTTCAAATGATCCTACCACCTTAACCTCGTGAGTAGCTGAGAATAGAGATGAACTACTGCATCGCATTTAAGATCTGTTTGTAAAAGCTCTTTGGTGATTCTAATTCTCTGCCTGATAAGTGGTCCACTGTTCTGAGCTACTTTCTCTTTCTTCGTTTGCAAAGCTAATGCCATGCACGGCCATCAGTTGTCCATTACTCATAATTCATTTCAACTTTTTTGTCACAGTTGGTTCCATCCTACCTACTCAGTTTCTCTGATGTTGCTACTTGTTCTTCCATGTCTCTCCCTACAAATTCCAACACTTAATCTTTGTAATCTAAATATAGATTCTCTTTAATAATCTGTTAATACTTCATCTATAGGCCCTTTTGGTTCTGTTATCAGCTGTACAGCAGGGTTCCTTCCCGTTTGCCTTGCTGGTTCAGAAAGTAGGTGACTATGTTATTCTCCCACCATGTTGCCCATGCTCTCTTTGTTTTTCAATTTTTTTGATAAGATATTAATAATTTGTAAAATGTTTTTTTTTTAGTGTCTAGTTTATGTGCCAACTTAACCATCTTTTTAAAAGCCTATTTTAATCTTAATAAAGGTTAAATTTTCATCTCATTCCTACCATTTTATTGTGTATGTTTGAATAAATATCTTTTCACTTTCATGTATTAAAATAGAAAAGTAATTTTCTACAGAAATGTTAGAGGAATAATTTTTTTGTTCATAGAGTAATCTGAATAATTAAAAAGACATTGCAGAAGTGTATCTAAGGCATTCATTTTACTTCTTTCAGTCATGAGTTTGTATGTGTATATGAATAATTGAAAAATAAACATAAAATTAGCTCTTAGTTGTAGCTATTTTCTGCTGGTAAAATGTACTGTTATTGGTTGGTCAGGATAATTTTTTGAGGTGCAATACAAGTAAGGCAATTATTTATGACACATGGTACTAGTAGATCAGATTTTATTTTGCTGAAAGGCAGGTATAAATATAAATTACAAATATTCAGTAAATACTTGATATATTTTATTATAAAATGTACAAAGCAGTGATTTTAAAGAACATGCCTTATTTTATAACATTAACTTTTTATTTAATTGGTCAGTTTTTCATTCATTCAACAAATATGCAGGCACATTTATGTGTTCCAATTTTAATGTAGTTAACATTTAACTTAATTTTATAATGTAGAGGTATGTAGAATTTCACATAAGTCCTTAAGAATAATTAATAGGCTTGATATTCCAATGTTTTTAATGCATAATTTTTTTGTATGTACTATAGATTGCTCTTGCATTGTCATGATTTTAATGTAATTGCTACTTTTCAGTGAAGGAATATGAAGCTTGGTTTAAATTTTTTTAAATAACCATGTTTTCAACTTGCTGGGTTTTTTTGTGGGGGGATTTACATCTGACCAGTGCTAGATTTAATGAGTTGAAACAAATGATGATACACTATTCATTTTGTATAAAAGTATTTCTATTAACTAACTTTTGATATAGTTAACATTTTTGGAGTAACATTTTGGAGTAATTCTGGATGATGTAACTTGAAGTCAGGGAGCTTAGTTGTGTAAACAAAAGATTAAATATATGATAAAATTCTAAATTATGTGGTATAGACCTAGTGATTTTTATACTGTACTGTTATTAGACTAGATGTATTGTCTCATCATTAAATCTAAAAACCTTATTTTCCCCAATATGTAGAAAGAGATGCTGTTTTCTCAGTTCGAACTTCTTTCATAGTATGTGGTGTGTGTTTTCTTTGGCCCTTGTTCATATTAGATCTGATACAGAATGATGTTTTATTTATGTATATTTATAATTGTTTTAGAAATGTCTCTATATTTCAACATATATTAAATAGTTCATGTTTCTCAGAAAGTACCATGACTTCAGCTTTTTTCTAATCTGCAAAAGTTTAACCACTACTAGAAATTCTCTGGTAAAGGATATTTGGAAAAGAGTTTTGTTTAGGCTAGAGTTATTGAGAGTTGAGCTGGATTATGGAAGGTTGATTGTTTTTGGATAACTGTAGAATTTGGCAATATAGTTTCAAAGTGTTGTAGGAACTTAGAGACAAACACACAGAGACTTTGTGGTAAAGCCAGAATCAGATTCTAGATTCTCTTTCCGAGTGAAATGGTCTTTCCTTTGGGCAGATAGCATAGCAGGAAGGAGTTAGTGGTCAATAACATTTTATCAGAGAAGATGGTGCTAAGCTTGTGGACTGTCAAAAGGAATTCTTGAAGTCTTGAATAGTCTTGTATCAGGGTTGGATTAGAAAGACATTTCAGGCTCAAAGGAACTTTGTGTGCAAAAGCAGATAATCCTGAAAGTGCTTATGTTGGAAGTGAATCATGGTATTGGAGGGCAGGGATTTGAAATAAGTGGTATTATATATACCAAGCACTGTTCTAGGTGTGGGATATACACATGGCAAAGACAGAAATCCTGCCACCATGGAGATATTTACATTTTAGTAGGAGAAACAATTAAAAAAAAAAAACTGTAATGTAGGTAATGATGAATATTATGAAGAAAAAGGAATTGAATGGTTAAGAAGTAGAGCTAGGGGTTCTGTGAAATAATTGGTTGGGAAAGACCTCTGTGGAGATGAAATTTGAGCAAAATATAGTGAGTGGGAGTGAGCCAAGTGAATTGAGGCAGAAGGAATGGCAGAGCACAGTTGCTGTATTTAGTAAAGAGGCCATTGTAGGTGAAGTGTAATGAGTGAGTAGTTTATTGTAGAGTGTTTACTGAGTACTAGGCACTGTTTTAAGTGTATTACTAGTGTTAATTCTTAACAACAATCCTACAGGAGGAATGCTATTTCAAATACAAGGAAACTGAGGCGCAGAGATTAAATAATTTATCCCAGGTCACCCAGTTTGTTAGGGAGCTGAGATTGGAGCTCTAAAATCAATATTCCCAACCATAATTCAAAGTTGGGGAAGGGAAGGTATAGTAGGAATTTAGCAGTAGCATGGAGCCAGTTTTACAGGCCCTTGTAACTTATTATAAGAACATAGGATTTTACTCTGACAATGATGTTAAGTCATTGGAGGGTTGAGAAATACCTAGGAAGTTGATTTATGGTTCTGGAGATACAACCATATCTCCAGTAACACATTTGATAGTCATCTGTGTATAGGTTATAGCTTAAAATATTTCTACTGGCCTGTAACATTTCTTTGATTTAAAATTAAGGATTCCACTTCATCATTTTATCAAGCAGATATGTGCATGCCTGTATATATATATATATATATATATATATATATATATATATATATATATATGAGTGTGGATGTGTGTGTCCAAACTAATGAACTCTTCTGTTACTAGGTGCGAGAAGATGTACTAAATTCATTGAATAACAACTTTCTTCAAACGCTAAATCAAGCTTGGAATGATCATCAAACAGCTATGGTGATGATTAGAGACATACTAATGTACATGGTAAGTAGATCTTTTTAAATGTTTTTTTCCTTTAAGAAGTTAAGCATTTGAAGGCTGGGTTCAGTGGCTCGGGCCTGTAATCCCAGCACTTTGGGAGGCCAAGGTGGGCAGGTCACTTAAGGTCAGGAGATTGAGACCATCCTGGCCAGCATGGCAAAACCCTGTCTCTACTAAAAAATACAAAAATTAGCCTGGTGGGTGGTAGGCAGGCGCCTGTAATTCCAGCTACTCAGGTGACTGAGGCAGGAGAATCACTTGAACCTGGGAGGTGGAGGTTGCAACAAGCTGAGATTATGCCACTGCACTCCCACCTAGGCAACAGAGTGAGACTTTGTCAAAAAAAAAAAAAAGAAGAAGTTAAGCATTTCAAAAACACAGTCGCTTTCTGTCTAACTTAGTACACCTCAGTGTGGAAGGTGGTTTTTGTTTTTTGAATGAAGACTGCTTTCTTTGTAAGGGCCTACCTAAGCCTATGTGAATAAAATCTTAATTGTTTACATAGTTAATGAAAGCTTAGAATGGGAAACTGAAAGGGAATGATTTAATTTTTTTCTTCATATTTAGCACTTATCCTTTAAAATGGAAAATACGAAAAAAGCTGTATTACTTAACATGTCTTCTTAAGTAAGAGTTGTTAAATGACAACATGAGAAACAAAAGCTGAATATTCTCTTACAGGTTTTTAAATCCTAAATTCTTCAGTGACAGAGGATGTCATACTAATACAAGCATTTTTCTGAGAATCATACTCTTACAGCTGCCCTCTATCTCTCTTAATAGTGAATCCTTACAGTGCACTGTTTCAGCTAGTCTTGTTTAAGGATATTAGCCTCTTCACATGTGTATTTCATTTTTCACCTATTGCTGTATTTTGTTTTTATCAGTCAAGCAATATTGCTATTGCTGATTTTGTTTTTATCAGTCTGAACAAGAAAAAAAATCTTGTTCAAAGACCATTTGGAAACATTGACTTTGATCTAAGCTGTTTAATAACTTTCAGAGAGATTAAATTCTGAGTTAAAAAAAAATTTAGTATTGCAGAACGATGTGAGATTCATTAAGCCTAATTATTGTATCTCTCCAAAATTAACAAGTTAATGACTTGTCTTGTTTCAGTGTTTATGTTTTTGTATTGGATATAATTATTTTTTCCCAAGGTTTTTTATGTTTTTATATATTTTATATATTTTTCCCCAAGGTACCTTTTTATATTTTATTTCTAGTTTTTTTTGTTTTGTTTTGCTTTTAGTTTTAATGCAGTGATGAGAGCTTGTCCTAGTTTCTTTTACTTGATAGAATAAAGCAGTATTTGTAAAGAATTCCCAATGAGAATAAACAGCTGTAAAGTTTTTTGTTCTACTCTGTGAATTCAGTCAGGCCTTTAACCCTGGTTTTGTAAGGGGTTAGTGGCATGGGGGTCAGGGAGAGGCCACTTCACTCTTCAGGGATTTGATAAAATATATAACAAATTATTTAGCTTTTCTGAGCATCATTTTTCTTATCTGGTTGTAAATTAACCTTGCGTTATTTTGAAGTTATATGAGATGATATGTGACAATATATAATATCTGGCATATAAATTCGAAATAACTTTGTTGCTGTTTTCTAGGTTCTAGACACAGTGAGTCTTTAAATTGCATCCTAACTATCTAACATTAAGATTAAAAAAAACCACTTGTAATTTTATGGTTTATTCTGTTGACAGAAGAAGTATTTAAAAAATTTTTTTTCTTTCTTTATTTTTTTATTTTCTTTATTTTTTTTATTTTTATTTTTTCCAATGAAATCTCAAACCTTGAATTTTGGCTCTACCCATGGTTAAGAAGTTAATTAGTTCATGCCTCAGGTTCCTCATCTATAAAATTAAAATAATACTGAGTAGAGTAGTCATGAGGCTTAAGTGGCACTACTCATGTGAAGCACTTGTAGGGCTTGGCCCGTAGTAACATGCTCATTAGAAATTAACTGGTATTATTTCTTGTCCCTTCATTTTTCATCAAGTCCATTTGGTAGTACCACAATGCTGCGTGAACTGAAAATTCACACAGGGTAGATTGGTTCCACTGTTTGTCCCGTCACAGGCTTGTGGTCAACCCTTCACACTTCAGCAGTTTCACTCTTTTTCTTTAGTCAACTTGCTCCAGCAGTTATTTCTCTTCAGACCTCCACTCGTCCTTGGGTTCCCTCTCTCGTAGTAAATGATCTTACCTTCTACTTCTCAGAGAAAAGAGAAGGCGTCAGGTAGGAACTCTGCTCATTTTTTGCCACTAAATCTGGAACTTCAGCAGTATTTTCTCCCCTTTTATGTTTTTCTTTTTCCCTCTTCTTTTAGTGGAGGGTGGTGTCTCCTCTTCAGTTAGAGGCTACTTCTCAACCTGTGCTATGGGTCACATCCTCTTCTACCTTGTCATGAACCTTAAGTATTTTGGGGCTCTGCCTTTCATGTTGGATCTTAGCCAGCATTAAACACATTTACACCACTCACATTCTCAAAATATAATTATATTAAATTATCTGGTGAACCCTGGCACTGTCTCCCAGGATCTGTCATCTGTCATTCATAGGTAAATGTATCATAAGAAATGTTGACATTTGCCATCCGTTTTCTCATCTTTCATACATTTTGAATACAGTACAGTTAAGCTTCTACCTCAACTATTATGTTCAGTTTTGTCCTTACTAGTATCACCCATGGTGTCTGTGCATCTCAGAATATAAAGAGACTACTAATCCCCATTCTCCTTGATTATTTTTTTAAGCAGCATTTGCCACAGTTAGTCTTTCCTTTCTTCTTGTAACATGTTTCCTTGATTTTTGTGACAAAGAACTCTTTTTGTATGCCTCCTACCTACCTTCTTACTGTTTATTCTCAGCCTCTTCTCCTCCACCATGGCCCACAACTACCAACCGCCCCCAAGAACCCCTCTTAAATAGAGGCATTCTTGGGATTTAGTCCTGGACGTTCTTTTCATGGTACAGGATCGTATGTAGCTTCATGTGCCTTTGTGCAGGTGATTCCCAAATTATGGCTCTAGCTTCATTTTCTGAGATTCAGATTTACATATTTATTTGTTTAGTTAATGGCTCCTTTCATTGTCTGAAGTACTTCAAAGTTGGCATGTCCAAATAAGTCATAATCACTGTCATTCACTTGTTCATACTAGAGACCTGAGAATTATTCTGATAAGTTCCTCCTTTCTCCCTACGTCATCTGTTGCTAGACTCTGCGGTTTCTCTTTTATTTTCTATAATCAACATCAGACCACCTTCATTTCTCTCTTGAAATATTCAGTTTTGCTAGTCTTACAGTGTTCACTGGGCTTTTCTCTGTTTTCCATATTGCTCCCAGAGTTACTATTTTAAAACCAGATCTGATCATGTTACTGCCCTGCTGAAATCCTTACTTCTCATCTTGGAATTCTTTTACATGTGTTCTGTCTGGAAATGTTTCTCGAATTTTTTTTTTTCCTTAATGTTAACTTGCTCCTGCTTATCCTTTATGTCATCTTATTTCTGGTAAGCTTTCCCTGACCCACATACTCCCCACTGGCTGCAGTTGCTCTCATTGTACCTAATACTGTTCCTTTGGAACATTTATCACAGTCATTAACCAACGGTTCAGTGTGTAGTCTGCCTACTAGACTATAGGAAGGCAATGTCTGTGTCATCATTATGTCTTTTAATACCTACTACAGCTTCTTGTACAAACTAGGCACTTAGATGTATCTTTAATGAATTGGTACAGATGTTATATAGTATGTTGTTTTTAATAGACTACGCTTTTTTAAAATGCTTATTAAAAATATGCTATTTTAGGCCAGGAACAGTGACTCACACCTGTAATCCCAGCACTAGGTGGCTAGATCACTTTAGGCCAGGAGTTCAAGACCAGCCTGGCCAACATGGTGAAACCCCATCTCTACTAAAAATAGAAAAAATTTGCCGGATGTGGTGGTGCATACCTATGATCCCAGGTACTCAGGAGGCTGAGGCACGAGAATCGCTTGAACCTGGGAGACCGAGGTTGTAGTAAGCCAAGATTGTACCACTGTACTCCAGCTTGGGTGACAGAGTAACTCTATCTCAAAAAAAAGAAAAGCTATTTTAGATTCAAAAAGAGAGTGTTGATACCTTCATGTTCTACAAGAGAAATTTTTTTAATTTTCATGTTCTTTGCTTATAATTTCCTTTTTATGTGTAGTGTTCTAGACATAATTAAAATACATTTAAAAGTACATTTTTATTTTTACGGTTTTTTTTTTTTTTTTTGAGGCAGGGTCTTGCTCTGTTGCCCAGGCTGGAGTCCAGTGGTGCAATCTCGGCTCACTGCAACATCTACCTCCTGGGTTCAAGTGATTCTCCTGCTTCAGCCTCCTGAGTAGCTGGGACCACAGGTGCGCACCACCACACCCAGCTAATTTTTGTACTTTTGGTAGAAATAGGGTTTCACCATGTTGGCCAGGCTGGTCTCGAACTCCTGGGCTCATGTGATTTGCTTGCCTCAGCCTCCCAAAGTGTTGAGATTATAGCCATGAGCCACTGCTCCGGGCCAAAAATGCATTTTAAAATTAAGGTAAAATTTAATATACATTGAAATGAACTAAACTGTACAGAATGATTTTTGACAAACATGGACCTGTCTAACCAACACCTCATTTAAGATAAAAATATGGTTTTAATTTTCCAAAATTTTTTTCTGTGGACGTCTCCACTTTTTAATTTTTTTATTTTAAGGACTTTACCTTCAACCCAGACTCTTAGGGTATATTACCCACTATGAGGTTTCTTGTGATTACTGGCTCTAATGATTGAGAGTTTAGATCTTAGGCCCAGAGCAGGAGGAGAGAAGAAGCTTCACTGTCTGCCCCACCGTCACCTACTTAGCTAGCTGACTTTTTACTCTAACAAGGAGGTGTCTGTGTCTAAAATGTTATGCATGATACTGTGGGACACACTGCCTCTTGAAAATGAAAATAAAATCACAGGTTACATGGAGGTAA